TGCCCAGAGCAGCTGTGGCTGCCCCTGGATCCCTGGCAGTGCCCAAGGCCAGGCTGGACATTGGGGCTGGGAGCAGYCTGGGACAGTGGGAGGTGTCCTTGCCCGTGTTCAAGAAGGACTTTAAGGTCCCTTCCAACCCAAACCATTTGATGAGTCCGGGAGCTTTGTTTTTATCCATTCCACTGTAGATCTGGGGGGACGGAAGCAGCTGAGCCAAAGTCCTYGAGGGGCAGAGCCCTGAGCAGGGCAGGGGCCAGGGCAGAAGGGACAGGGGACAGGGCACTGGGGACAAGTGAGAGGGCACACAGAACAGAAGAGAGGTCACAGAGGACAGAGCAGAGGGTACAGAGGACAGGGCACAGGGTACAGGGCCCTGAGGTCCCCAGCCCAGCCCCAGCTCCAGCAGGAGTTTCAGCACTGCTCCAGTTCTGTTTCCCGTGGTTATAACTTTTTCTGGGTAACCACAAAAGCCACCAGTGCTGCGGTGACCCCGTGCTGGAGGGATGGGCTGGGCTGTAGCAGCGGGCACTCAGGTGGCCTTGGGACCCCCTGTGCCAGCCCTGCCCTGTGCCAGGCTCCTGAACACCGCCCCTGCTCACAGCCAGCTCGAGGGGAAACTGAGGCACAGGGGGCCTTGTCCTGGYACAGGGGAGGGGACAGCTCTCGGACAGCTCTGGGGACAGATTCTGCAGCACTGCTCAGCTCTGTGTTTTAACAGCACATTAAGCAGAAGGAAAAGCTTTTCCTTCCCTTTTAAATGAACCAAACCCATCCTAGAAAGCCCTGACTGAAAATCAGCTCTGCCAGGACAAAAACAGACTTTTTTTTTTTTTCAAAACAGCAGAAATTAAACACGCAAAGAAACTGAAATGGCATTCAAAGAAACTGAAATGGCACTTGAAATGATGTGAGAACTTTTGTCACAGCTTATTTTCTTCCCCTTTGATTCATTCTGAAACCGGTATGACTTTTTTTTTAATCCAGCTGAAAACAGAGGTGGGGCAGGGGCTGGGCTCTGCTTGGCACACATGGCTCTCCTTGGGAAGGAAACTTGCCTGAGTTTCTTTTTCCCCACAGCCAGCTGCTCCCTTCCAGCCCAGTAAAAAGGGGCAAGATTGGTGGTGAGGAACAAAACACAATCAGAGAAGCCTTAAGGTTAGAAAAAACATTTAAGGTTGATTCCAATCGTCAAAGCAGCAGCACCACCACGGTCACCACTAACCTGTGTCCTCGAGTGTCACAGCCAAACGTTTTTTGAACAATTCCAGAATGGTGATTCCACCATGGCCCTGGGCAGCACCTGCCCGGCTTCTTTTGGTTAAAACAACCAACCCCAAAGCCCCCAAAAATCCATCAAGGGACAACAGGGGACAGCAGAGCTGTGGAAGGGGGGCTGAGGGAGCTGGGAAAGGAGCTCAGCCTGGAGCAAAGGGGGATCAGGGGGGACCTTGTGGCTCTGCACAACTCCCTGACAGGAGGGGRCAGCCGGGGGGGTCGGGCTCTGCTCCAGGGAACAGGGACAGGAGGAGAGGGAACGGCCTCAGGCTGGGCCAGGGGAGGGTTAGATTGGAAATTGGGAAAATTTCTTCACTGAAAGTGTGGTCAGGCATTGGAAAGTGCTGCCCAGGGCAGTGGTGGAGTCACTGTCCCTGGAAGTGTTCAAACAACGTGTGAATGTGGCACTTGGGGACACGGGCCAGTGGTGGCCTTGGCAGTGCTGGGGAACAGTCGGACTCTGTGACCTTCCAGGGCTTTTCCAACCTTAATGATTCWGTGATTCTGCAGGGAACTTGTAAAATAAAGACCAAAAAAAAAGAATTAGAGAGAGGGGGAAGGGCAAATCCTGACAGACGTGGGCAGCTGCCCTTTGTCCCTCGCTCAAAACAGAAAATTGCGAGCCCTTGTCCCAGGGATGCTGCCGGTGCCGTGGGCAGAGGGAGCCACGCGTGGGCCGGGGGGGCYGGGGGCGGCAGCGGAGAACGGGAATCCAGCAAATTGACTTTTGCTATAATTTGATTAAATAGCGGGAGCCGGGCCGGGGAATGGAGCGCGGCACGTCTGAGAGCCCTGCGCCATCTGGCAGGGGCTGGCTCGGGGCCAGGCGCCCGGCAGCTGCACCAACAGCCACGCCAGGAACCCACGGAGAAAACAAGGGGGGGAAATCGGGGCGACGGAGGGAGCAGGGGTGCAGAGCGGGGGGGAGGCAGTTCACCTTGCTGTGCACCCACCCTGCTCCTGCTCCACCGCCCCCGCAACATCTCCTGCGGCATCCTGAGGGTCCAGCTTGCACTGCAACGCTGGCCCTGAGCCCTCCTAATCTTTGCTTTTGCTGCCCAGCACAGGGGAGGCTGTGAAAAGCCAGCTCCATCCTTGCCTGCACGGTGGGGCGCGGAGCCTGGAGCGCGGAGCTCGGAGCCCGCGGAGCACGGAGCTTGCGGAACCGGAGGCGGGCCGGGGCCGGGGCCGGCGCTGCAGGAAGCTGTAAATCAGGCCCAGGGCCCGTCGGTTCCCCAGCCCGCGGCCCCAGCCCTTGCGCCGGCGGCCTCGGGGACCTCCAGGTGAGGTCATTTCCTCCGGTGAACATTTGCCAGCGCGGCCAGAGCCGCTCGAAAAGCCCCGGCGCTGGGATTCGCAGCGCTCTGTGGGCTCGGGCTGTTTTCCCCTCCCTGTTTTTCTTGCTTCAGTGAAGGAGCTGGGGTGGGACTTTGGGCAGGCTGAGGCTGAACASAGCAGTGACCAGACTGGGAATGCGGCGCCTCGAACAGCTCCCAGGCACCGGACTCAMTGCGGCAACGAAACCCTGCAGGAACGACGGGCACAGAATCCCTGCCTGGGCTCCCTGGCACCGCGGCTGGTGCAGAGCCACAAAGGATCGGTGTGGGGCCAGCCCTGGGTGCTGTGCCCGGACACCACRGCCCCCGGCCAGGAGCTCCAGAGAGACTCTGAGGGGCTTTGTGCCCCGAGGGCAATCCCAACCCAGCACCTCCTGATCATGGAATGGTTTGGGTTCAGAGGGACCTCAAAGCCCACCCAGTGCCACYCCTGYCATGRCAGGGACACCTCCCACTGTCCCAGGCTGCTCCCAGCCCCAATGTCCAGCCTGGYCTTGGGCACTGCCAGGGATCCAGGGGCAGCCACAGCTGCTCTGGGCACCCTGTGCCAGGGCCTCCCCACCCTCCCAGGG